TTTACTTCTCTATTTGGCGGAGAGTGGTGTATATATCAATGGTTGAACCATTGGTATGCATGATAAATGCCAAAGATTTTTTCTTGAAAAAAAAAAAAAAAAAAAAGTGCTTTTTTTGTTATGATTTTTATGAACCGGAAAATGGCTCTTATGATTATTATTTACTGATGAATGTATAACGACGTTATGACCCTCCCTTCTATATGAATATATTTTTGTTTAAATATTTTGTGTTTTTTTTTTATTTTTGTTTATTTTTGTTTATTTTTTTTGTATATATATATATATTGGAAGTATGTTTATACTCCATTATATCGTTTGTTTACTTTTCTAAAAAGTCCATTGTTGTGATTGGAATGATGATGATACTTTAGACTAAAATACAATTTTTTTTTTATTCGAAACAAATAAATAAACAAACAAGTAAATAAATAAATAAATAAATAAATAAATAAATAAATAAATAAATAAATAAATAAATAAATAAATAAATAAATAAATAAATAAATAAATAAATAAATAAATAAATAAATAAACAAACAATCAAACAAACAAACAAACAGCTGCCTCAATGAAGGAAACCTTTTAATATTTAAATTTATTAGTTTATTATCATCGAAAGAACGCGCCTTCTTTTTTTTTTTTTTTCTTTCTTTCTTTTTTTCTTTTTCTTTCTATATATATTTTAAATATCTGTCAAGTGATGATTAATTAATACCTAGCAATGAAACGATGATGATGAGATTATTTTACTACTAAGCTTTTAATGGTCTACATTTCTGTCTCAGGCCTTGTTCTTGTTCTTTTTAAGGTTAATTTACAAGAAGACTAGTAGAAAAAGAAGAAGAAGAAGAAGAAGAAGAAGAAGAAGAAGAAAAAGAAGCCTAAAAGACTAAAACAATTTTTTATTTTTTATTTATTAATTTTTTTTTAATCATAGACCGCAAAGATATTAACATGAATATTAATTAATAATAATGTAATCTAAAACAAGTTTTTTTTTTATTTATTTATTCTTGTTTGAAAAGAATGGTTTTATTTCAAAAATGTCTTTTTTGGAACTTAATGAGGGAGGAGAAAAGATTTTTTTAAAAAAATAAAAAAATAAAAAAATAAAATAAAAAAAATAAAAAAAATAAAAAAAATAAAAAAAATAAAAAAGAAATACAGACGGCATTACAAAACGTTTTTTATTTTTTTTTATTTTTTTTTTTTTAGGTATGACGGAAATAACAAAAATAAAGATTAGTCAATTTTGTTAGAATTGATTTTCATATTTTATACAATAGTTAGATTAACTGTTGTTTTTAATTATTATTATTATTATTATTATTATTATTATTATATTTTTAATGTTGTTGTTGTTGTTGTTGTTGTTGATTGAAAATATTATAATTCTATCTACAAGAGTACGTTTCTTCAGTTGAATATAAATATGAATATGATGATGGTGATAATCATGATGATAGATTAGGAGGCTGGGTTGGGGCTGGACTGAATGAACGTTTACCAAAAAAAACAAGAGGTTGGAATAATTAATTATTCATTTATTATAATAATAATGATGATAATATTTTTCTTTCAGTGGAGATCAAAAAAAAATTTTTTTTTTTTTTTTTCCTGAGCATAGTCATGGCTTTTTATTTAAAAAATATTTTAAAAAATTAAATGATTTTTAAATAAAATTATAAAAAATGAAAAAAAAAAGTTCTACAAGTTGGATACTTAAAACTAGCGATAACACGGGAAATGAGATAAAGAGAAGTAGCAGTGGTAGTGGTAGTAGTAATTGTAGTTGTAGTGGTAGTTGTAGTAGTAGCAGCAGCAGCAGCAGTGGCAGTGGCAGTGGCAGTGACAATGACAATGACAGCAGCTTTTGAAATGTAGTAAGACATTTAATATATATTTTGTTATCACCAAGCAAGAGAGAGAAGACGGAGTTTGATACAAAAGAAAAAAAAAAAAAAAGGATTTGATATATAAAACTACTAATCATAAAAAATTAATTCAATTATATTTCTTCTAAATTTTTATTATTATTATTTTTTGAAAGTCATAAAAATCATAGATTATATTTTGAATAGCGGTAAAAAAAAAAAAATAAAAAAAAAAAAAGCAACATAGTAGTATTGAATAATAATTGATAATATATAATTGTAATAATTTGATTTAATAGCCCTAAGGAAGGTCCTCCCTTAGTTTAACGGCTTTTATCTATGGAACACTTTTTTTTTTTGTTTTCTCTTTCTATTTCAAAAAAAAAATAAAAAATAAAAAATAAAAATCATAAAGTGTTAGAAGTAATTGATTAATTGATTAATTGATTGATTGATTGATTGATTGATTCACTGACAGACAGACAGACAGACAGACAGACAGACTCTCTTTCTTTCTATTTTATATTGAAAATCCACGTTTTCTTTTTGTTGTATGAATTACTTTTTATGGTATTTCCTCCCCCCCCCCCCTTAAATTTATAAATGTATATATATATATACATATACAACAATTGTAGTATATACAAATAATAATAATATGCTGATTCTACAAAATAAAACTTTTATCCAATCATTAAAAACAATTTACAAATGATAATAATATATATGAAATAACCGATTATCTAAAGTATTGGTTAAACAACAGGTAATCAAAAATATATATATATATATATATATATAATTCAAGAATTGATTTTAACAAAGTTATTTAATAATTGGGTTTTTTATTTATATTCTTTTTTAAAAAAAAAAAAAAAAAAAATATTATTTAAGGGGGGGGGGAAAGAAGTGGGAGAGAAACTTTTATTTATTACTTAATTAAGTTATCTGGTGTGGCAGCTGCTGCATCTAACAATCGCCTTTTTTTCTAAATTTGGGGGGGGGGGAGGTTTTTCTTAACCTTCATTAAAATCCCTTTTTTTTTTTTTCAATTTTTAATTTTTAAATTTTTATCAATCACACTAACCGTTATATATCTAATATATATAAAAAATATCCTTATTAAATGATTAGCATGTATGATATATTTCTTTCTAAAAGACTTAGTGAGCTCGGGTTTCTTTATACCCTACTTCCCCTTATTTCTTATTACTACCCCTCACTCGTCTAAAGACCAAATAAAAAAATTAAAAATAAAAAATAAAAAATAAAAAAAAAAGCTCAGGGATCTTATACTTTGTTCATATTCGGAATAACTATACCTGTTTTATACTTTAATTTGAATTTTTTTTTTTTTTTGGTTTTTTTTAAGGAGAAATTTACTGGATTTCAATTTATGCTTAATGAAAAAAAAAAAAGAAAAAAAGAAAAAAAAACATCACGCGTTTACAAATCTTTTGTAGCTAACTTTGCACGTTTACAAATTGTTTTATTCACTACCATTATCATTATCATCATCATCATCAATATTTACGGGAACAATTCCAGAGAATAATGTATTGACGCTCAAATCTAATTATGGAGAATTATTCATAATATAAATAAGAATTGTTATAGGAATTAAAAAAAAAAAAAAAGGAATTAAAAGAAATCGAAATCGAAGAATCCCAGTTGACTGGAGTTTCCAGGATTTTGTGTTTCAACAGAGTCCATCTTAACTTTATACATATGAACTTTTTTTTTTTTATCAAACGCATCCATACGCGTTAAGTGATAATGTTAGTATTCAGCGCATATTGCTGAATGGATAACTAGGCGTTGACTATACCTAGTTAAGCCTTTAATTAAAAACAAAAAAAGAAACAAAAACTTGATTTGTAAAGAAAGGTGTTCGAAAAATAAAATAAAAAAAATGAAATAAAATTTCTCCATTGCTTTTCTAAATCATAATGCAGTTCTCTCTCAACGGTCAAAGAAGAGTAAAAAAAAAATATATATATTTTTTTTTTTGGTTTTTATGTCTTTGAAATAAACCAATTACTTTTAAACAATAGATTTATTTAAAACCACGTCTATCAAGTAAAAAAAAAAATTCACAGGTTTTTCTTTTTATTTATTTATTTATTTTTTTTACTAAACATCTGGGTTTGTTTCAATGATATTAATAGATTTGATGATTGTTTCTTACCGATATCTTCAAGTTGAAATCTTGCTTTTTTGTTGATTCAATAATTTCATTTTTTTTTTTTTTTTTTTTTTTGAATAGATACTACTACTTTATTACCCATTAAAAATTAAAAGGCCTCAACCAAAGAATATAGTAATATACACAAAGGGGTTTCAATCTATTTTTCATTGTCTCTGTTGTTGTTTTGAAATATACAAACAAAAAACATGGGAAACTTTGGTGGGAACCAGGCAGTAAAGATTTTTTTTTTTTTCATTTAAAAAATAAATTTATTTATTTATTTATTTATTTTTATTTATTTTATTTATTTTTGGTGATGCTAAATTTATATTTACTTTAACTAAAATGAAATTTTGTTTGTCTGTCTAAATAAAATTTATTACCAAACTAGGCTATTTATTTAGTTTTTAGATAATTTTTTTATTTATAATTATTAAGCTTATATATATATATATTTTGAGGGAAAAGCACAAACAAGATTAACTTTGTTATTTTTTTTCATATTTAATTTCACTTTATTTATTTTCAATTTCAATTTCAATTTCAATTTCAATTTCAATTTTAATTTCAATTTCAATGTTGAATCTTGTTTTTTTTTTTTTTTCTTTTCTCTAAGGCATTGCCAATTGGTATTTCTTAAGACCACCACATAAAAACTTTGATCAAAAAGGTGAGAAAAGGAAGATTTCTGCGTCTTTTTTTTTTTTTTTTTTTTTTTTTTTTTTTTTTAAAAAAATTTTTATTTTCGTTACTCAGTTGGCACCCAATGCAGAGGACAGTCAGTACTGAATTATATATATATATATGAAAAAAAAAATAAACAGCAGCTGTTGCCGTAGACAGTTAGAAAAATAAAATAAAAACCTAAAAGCAGGTTTTTTGGGTTTTTTTTTTATATTGAGCTTTAACTGAAGAATAAAAAAATCTTAACGTAT